TACTTTGGATGTCTTTGTATGTATATTATCATAAGGAGGTTAGGATATGATGTTTTAGTCTAGTTAATTTATCATTTTAATAATATGTCTGAAATATATTATGTGCTGTAATATCATCTACATGATGATATGATGTAAATATTCTATATGCTTAATATCATGACACACTGTTATGTATTATAATTAATGTAGACTATAGTGTACACATTGTAGATTAGGTACATATTATGGATGACATGAGACAGAGTGTGCGTGTGCATGTGTGTGTGTGTGTGTGTGTAATATAGATTGTATTTAATTGTGTTATTTTATTATATTAGGTCTTTGAAGCACTCATTTGCCACCCGGTTGTTTACCGGTAGACTGTGGATTACCTGCGTCCCTCAGACGAGGTTAGTATTTGTGTGTCAAGGAAATGCATGGGTTATGTTCTAAATGTTATGTTACATATCAGATTTTCATCTGTATGTCTGTAATTTGTAAGATAAGCTTATATTTATACTTAAATTGAGTAACCCTTGTGGTGTGCACAAATATTAAATGTAATTATATGTTGAATAAGTACTTGTTGCTGTATACCAGTAATTTGAGATGTTTATGTTTTATTTCAAGGGTTTTATCACCTGATCCAAGACAATAAATCCCTGAACCCTCACAAGTATTCGTCTGTTCTCAAATCATGACGTGATACCGCTGTTACATACAGAGAACTTCATTCACTAATGATATTTCCCTTTGAACCGATTGCTAAAACAGCAGAAGTATCCACATATCCATGACTTTAGTATCAGTACGCATGAACAATCATTGTCAATCGCAGCCAGACACTTTAGCTGTCAATATATCGCAATACAAGTACCTTTATCACAATATACTACAATGCATTTTTTTCAATAATCTGCCATGTTTAGTGATGATAGACTGTGATCAATAACCATTTAGCTATCCATAAAACCAATGTTATGACATGTTAAAATGTATATTGTGTATTATCATTATTACATAAAGTCTATATACCAGTCAATCATGACAGACACATTTCTCAAGCACCTGTATCAAAGAGAATGACGGCAACTGCATAGAGGTAGACCAAAGGTTTGATCTTCAAGTGCAGAGTGAGAACACAGAGTGAGCACACTAATAGTTCAAATGTCTGATCAAATCTGGAATACTGCAACAATCAGTCTCATTAGGCCTGACTTAATTTGATAGACAAGTTTGAATGGGCAATTTGTAGCTTTCAGGAACAATTTCATTACCAGTGCACTCAATTATTGTCATTTGCCATATCCATCTTCCACTTTTGTACCCCGTAGGTTAAGTCATCTGGGAAGTCATCAAAAGAACTTACTAACACATGCATATATGTAAAACTGACATGTTCAATACTAGGGGAGAATATGCATCTGTTTCACTAACATTAGACACACACAAAAATTAACACTGGAAACGTGATAAATAACTTCTTTAGTTGTTCGATATTATGACAAGTTTTTTTAACCAGCCCCAGCAAAATGTATCATATTATTTGACAATTTCATCTGCAATAGAAAAATCCATATAAAAACATGCATTCAGGACGACTTATACAACTTTATGTTAAAAAATGTCATAAACTATAGCCAAACTTCTCACTAGTTACCAAAAAACACTTCCTGTTGACAATAAAATTGTGTTAACATTAACAATAATTGTGTGGAAGTGAAATTGTATAGTGCCTCTTTTGTCCTCAGCATTTTATAAAAAGCACTGTCACCCTGTCAACTACTCTCAACCTGTAACCATTAAACAAGGTAATTTTAACTCCAGAATAAAAGGCAGCTTATTAGATAAAACAAGGTTAGTAAATTCCTTGTTTCAGTCATTACATCAAATAGAAGTTAGGGCCACCTGTGCAAACACAGTTGTCAAGAACATATTAGGCTGTCTATCACTCAACAGCGCAAATCAATTTATAGTTTTAAAATATATTTTCTTCTTCTAATTTTCTAAGGAATTTTCAGAATAAGAAACTGTTTGACAGATGTAATAAATAGCATGAGTAATTTCAAACAGTAAGAGACCTTATTAATACGGTATCACTGAAGTTTGCTTGTTGTGCTTATGCTAAACTGAGACAAATTACCCTCATTATCGTTCATACAACACAAACAAACCAATTTTGAAAACCAGGTGCAGCACTTTAATTTATAGAGTGGCAGTTCTTTTGAGGCTTCACTTAACACCCCTCTCTGCCTCATGATGGTGTTATGTGATACAGTGACTGTTTCTCAAACACAAACTAGTGTTCTTACCCTTGAATATAAAAGAAAAGACACTGAACAGACATTTTCGTCATCATCATCCTGACTTTACAAATAGCCTGCAGATAAACATGGAACTGGTAAAACTTCTAAACCAGAATAAAACCCAATCGTCTCATCTGAAAAAGATATATTTACTATACTCAAGAGATTACTTCTATCACTTCGCCCAAGCTCACATAAAAACACCCATTTCTAGTCAAGTGGATTCCAATTGAGAGAAAACGGGAAAAGAGTAAATCAGTATATACCATCTACAGCCTGTTTGTCATTTGATGCGCCATTACATCACTGCCATCCAACACTACCATCCAAACACAGGAATTTGACACACTTTCCAACCCATAGGGGACCGCAAGACAAGCATGGGCTGCTTTCTCAATAGGTAAACAGTTGTTGCAGTGCTGTGAAGAGGTGGGTTCAATTACGATCACAGGAGGTCATAAATTGTGAGACGGGGAAGCAAGCGATTGTTGGGAGGGGGTACTTTAATGAGCAATTATCTGCACTAATTTGAAACTGAAGCAACGTTAAAGTCAAAACACATCTCAGTCTTCCTCTTTCCAGAATAATCTTTTAATGCTCTCTACCTGTTGCTTAAACACTATACAGATGGAAAAGGATTCTGGCGCAATAGATACCACCGCGGAACATAAAAAGATGTTGAGAATCTTCAGTGTAAGTGCTATCCAAAGAAGGTTTCATACTCACTTTGTAAATTTAATATGCATTATCTAAAACTCGTTTGGGAATGAATATGAAGGAAAGAGAACAGAATGAAAAAAGATTTACAGTTGCATTATCAATCAGCAACTCAACAAGTCAGGTCCATTTTGGCAACAATTTACTTTGCTAATGGGTGCCACTTGTATGACAGGATACGTTAACATTTTCACCAACACGTGATTTTCACCTGTTTTTGAAACACATTCTGATATACAGGGTTGGAAATAACCCATTGCCCGACTTCAGAGTCCAGTGATTTTTTCTGTCGGGCAAGCAAATTTGTATATCACACTGTACCAGTGTCCAGTTGACTTTCCAATGTTAATTATGTTGTTTATTTTAAAAATTCAACAAGAAAACGGCTGGTATAGTGGAAAAATTATCAGGGCAAGTGATTTTACATGTGCCACTGTTCCGGAGTACACTAGCAATACAAAAATTATTTCCATCCCTGATATAGATATAGTCAGAGTCATTGTTGTCAAAATCTGCTTTTCGCAAAGATTTTGTATGAATACTATAAGGATTTTTTGCCTTGATTTAGATTACTTGTTTGAGTGGCATTTAGAAGTTGGTGTGATGAACAACCAGGAGAGTTCTATGGATATACAACTTCTTTAATATAATATGAGCCATATTATATTAAAGAAGTTGTATATCCATAGAACTCTCCTCCTTGTTGATGTAGATTCTTGGACATTATTTCATAAGTCCTGGGGACACTCAATCAGAAATCTTGGTGGTCTTGGACATCAAAAATGGGAGTTCAATTGTGACAATCACTGTACCCACAGTAAACACAAAACAAATCATATGTGACACCTTAACTTTCATGTTTCACCATTTCTTGAAATGCTTTCATAGCATACAAGGGGCAGTGGTGTAGCATTTATCCCAAGTCCCAGTCAAAAGCATCTGGTGTGCCAGGGCAAGTCATGTTTCCGGACATTGATAATTATATGATTATTATGTTGAAAAATGTCTCTAGGTTATTTAACAGTGCCCCTTAAGAACATGACTCACTTCCTGTTGCATGAACCAATGTAAAATGTTGGTGAAACTTTTCTCACATATGCCCAGCACATTGAGGAGTGCCCATCAGTGCCCATTGGTGATGTATGCATAAATTCTCCTTTTTCCTTGCTAGAAATTGTTTCAAGTACAGAACCACTCATACAAGGTCAAATAAAAACGGGCTGCCCACTATACAGAGATGTAACAGATATAAAGCTTTGTAGTTTCAATATAGGAAGAACTTGTGTGCCTAACGTTCAATTCTTTATTTACGAAATGATTTGTTCACAAGATGTAAAAAAAACTTAAATGCGCTGAAAAGGTCATGCAAAATAACGAATGTTCTTTTGATCTTTTAATCTCCTGAATACCTGTTTACTTCACTGGAACTGTCATGTGCCAGACAAGTGGCTCAAACAATGACGCTAGGTGTCTCCTTTCCGATATCATTAATTGTGCAAGGCATCCATTGATTCTATACCATTTCAATGGTTTTGTTGATCGACCCCATCACTATTGTGTAACCCTTACATTTCAGTGTTCACCGCGCATCGTACGAAATAATATCACAATTACCAATTATGTACAATTCAAGCTCAACTGCCAATTGTCCATTCAATGTCATTCACAATTACATCAAACATCCTCATCAAAACTCCATAGTACTGGCAAATAATCCATAGGACGGCAGTTGAATGTTTCTCCCTGAAGATAGTTAATTTGGGGCTAATTTGATTAATGGTTAATCGTTTAAGAGAATTCGCCGTGAGTAAAGTGACATCCTACGCTAAAGAGTGCATGCCTTGCGTTTCTTCAAAGATCTTCCGATTGTGGTCTCAGTAATAACATCGAACGCTACAGTGCCACAGTCAATGCTGAACGATTTTCTCAAGCCTCAAAGTCCCTTGTTCGCTGTAAATCCAGACCTCAAAGAAAGGAGAGAAGCAGTATACTTACGTTTGTAGCAATCTGGGAAATACTCCTGTGTTGCGTGTGGAAGTTTCCAAAGTGATGGCTCGTACACTGCGCCTGTTACACCCACGAGACAGCAGACGACAGTTCAGCAAAGGAAGGACTGCCGGGATGTTTCCCGCCAAGAGCTCGCACGTGCTGCCAATTACTCCAGGGTGATTGATGCTCCAAGTGTGGACTAGTGTTTGTTGCCTATTTCACCAGCACACGACCAAGATATGACAAGGATGAGCATAAACCTATGAATGTCGTATTCGCGAAAAGGCTTCAAGGAAATACCCACCCATGGCGAGCTGTCAGAACGTTTTGGCCCCCAATGTAAAATTTTGACACTTCTCCCTTGACCTGCCTTGCTGGGGCAGCTATTGCAGGATGAATCTTGTGTAACCTCCACGTATGGTAGCGACATTGGTGTTTGTAATAGCCTTTCCGCAACATTGATAATTATTTAACACACATCATAATTTGCCAGTGAAGGATAAATTACTGCCGAACTTTGGGTGCAGCGAGATATTTTGTGCATCTATTTACTTGACGAGTAAATGTCAGTATTGTTATATTATCCGTGGAGTTGGTGCTTGTCAAAACACCCAACACATTACGTGTGTATCAAAAAATGTCAGGACATGCTAATAATTTACACTGACAAAAATGACCCAGTTAAGCTGTTTATCGATTAAACATGATTGTTTATACTCCGAGGACGCCAGAACGTGGCTTTCTTAGGAAACACGTGCGTTCTCCGCTTGAAGATACAAACAAACCAATTATCGGTTTGTTTGGTTTATTTTTATGTTATGATTGCATTGCATTTTTTTTAAATCGATAGAGAACAGTTGCGTATTTTGATTTAATAATTTCAAGAGATTGTGTTGGAATTGAAGACGGCTTTTTTAAATCACATTGTCCATGACTATGGTGAAATTTAACTCAGCCAAGTCGTGATCAAACAGATTAGGTAAATGTGCTCCCCAACGCGATTGACATGTTCGCGTCTTCATTTCTTGAAATGTTTGAAAGTGAGAGACTTATGGGCACTTTCAAACTTCACTTACAAGTCGCCAACAGTTTTTTTTAGATATGTCTTTAATTGTGTAACGTAAGTTAAATTATTTTCAAAAATAACATTCTGACGCAGAATTCACTTTTTTAATCAGATTGAGTTCTTGGGTTAATTAAGAAACGCAACCAAGGCTAACTTCAAAATAGTCGACAAAAAACAACTGGAATTGAACCAAATGCGATTCTTGGAATGAAAAGCCTTGTTCAGTGGATAATGCAAATAAGCCAGTATCGGGGGATAGTCTCGCAATCAAAGTACTGCCGTGCAGGGGGAAACAATTAGCCCAACGCAATGAAGCGGAGTGATAACTTTATTGGGAAACGCATTAACCAATTTAAATACTCGACTTTAATTAACCAACATTTTTCTTCTTGTTTATGGTCTTTCAAACACGAATCAATATTGACAGAATAACCCTAATGTCTTTGGTGCAGCGGTTGACTGTTACTTTCATTCAAAGACTTTAGTACATAGTGTCAATTTTCCTGAACCTCTTTCAGGTTTAGGTTTTTAGCAGTGTCTATGACAATTTGAATTTTATGTGTGTTGTTTTACCCCAAACCTGGGTGAGTGTAGTCACATGTCTTTTACTTCTGAATTAAATTTAATATGTTAGTTTAGAATTCCATTGATTATGCATTATTGGTATTATAGATCAATACATTGAACCATCCTTAATTGATGACCGCACGCTAAATCACATAAATGTCATTTTTTTTGTCGGACACTGGTGAACGACCCGTTTTCCTCCTACTTCCAGCATTTAACACATGTGTGAAACTATCGTCTACTACTTTAGTGTGTGTGCGCGTGCGTGCGTGCGTGCGTGTGTGTTATTATGGCTTTATTTAAGAAATAACCTCAATACCATAATATGTAACTTGGTCGATGTATATCGCTTCAATATACCTTTATATTGTATAAATGTAAAATATTGCAGGGCTCCAGATAATTTTTCAACATCAGGAGTACATACTCCTTATTTTTGTAATATAGGAGTACTGGAAAACCTTAAGAGTACATTTCGAGTACTGAATGGAATTAATGCAGTATCAGTAATCTTGTGTTTCGTTTCATATATGCACCACAACATTGCTACTCTTGTGTAAATGGGGCAATAAACAATAAAATAATACTTTTTCAGATAAATACTTCTGTAAATGATTCTGAGACCGTACACCTTTGCTGTGATGCGTATCTGCTACGTTTTCTAAATTATTTCCTACCGTATCATGCATATTATTTAGCCGTACATACGTCGATACGGCCCTTATCTGTAGCCCTGATATTGTTTATGTACCTCTTATGCTGCAGTTTGCAGCCTGAGTGAATACAGTTCAGTTCAGTGTATTGTAAGTATTGAGGTTGAGGGATTTTCAGCATTCTCGTCTATCAAACGTCCCTTGGCATGCAATAACTAAGACAAAACACATCAGTGCTAAGTTCTCCATCAATAAATATTGATTAACTTTTAGCCGACAATTCATATACCCTAGTTATGAGTTTCGTGAGCTAATTTGAAATCGTATGAGAGTAATTTGAATATTGCTAGCTAAATTCAGCATAGACATATGAAAATGGGAGTAGGTTTCGATATCCGATACGTATGATTACTTTTTAGAAGACCCAGCTAACAGATTACTTTCAAGTTGAGTCCCATGTCTTATCAGCACACTTTTATTAAGTCTGGATATTTTAATTACGGCATCTGTTATTGGAGTCTAACTTAAAACAGACTCATTTACTTAAACTCACCAGACACTATTGACGTCGGTAATAATGACATTCAACCCTAAACTCTAAACAGTTCAGTTACATTTAAGAAATGGGAGAAGCTATTTCTATGAGATGGAACCGATTTCACCTGAACAAAATAGTTTCATATAACCTATATAATAAGGGAGAGAGAGACAGAGAGAGCCTCCGGGTAATCTCTTCACGCTGATTATTTTGATGCATCTCACATTGTTCGTTAGTTTGTTCATCACAAACTGCACCCTCCGTGTTAAATATCTCCATCAACACGCCTGCCGTGTTTACGATGAGGATGACTTTCTTTCCCAATCTAAAGTTAGCACCTCTGTCGCAAGCATAGTGAACACAAGAAACACGACCAGTTGCATAATAGAGTGTTATTCCAGTAGGCATCTACTTCAATATTGTTTGCGTTAATGGTGTGATGGGGAAAACTGATGTTAAGGACCGATGTGGACAGGTCTGCGTAGCCCAATAACACAGTGAGTGAGTGAGTTTAGTTTTACGCCGCATTGAGCAATATTCCATCTATATGGCGGCGGTTTGTAAATAATCGAGTCTGGACCAGACAATCCAGTGATCAACAGCGTGAGCATCGATCTACGTAATTGGGAACCGATGACATGTGTCAACCAAGTCAGCGAGCCTGACCACCCGATCCAATAACACAGTGAGTGAGTGAGTATGGTTTTACGCCGTTTTTAGCAATATTCCAAGAATATCACGGCGGGGGACACCACAAATGGGCTTCACATATTGTGCCCATGTGGGGAATCGAACCTGGGTATTCGGCGTGACGAGCGAACGCTTTAACTACTAGGCTACCCCACCGCCCCCCAATAACACAGAATCTGCACAACGGTTGTTATGTTTATATATCCATAAACGCAAGAACATATTTAAGTCATTTTTCATAAATAAATACGTCAACAATACTAACTTCACGCACTGATTATTTAATCATTAACACATATAAATGAGAAAACCACGTACCAAGTCCATTCGGTTATCAGCCAATAAGGAAACAATAGTCGGATAGTAGGCGCGATCTAATTTCTTTATGGAAACAAACGCTTGGTTAGCCATTGCTTGGTTAGCCATTGTTTGGTTAGCCAAAAAATGCAACGGAGTCGCATTTTGTATTCATAATGATTGAATGTGGTGTTCAGGAGTACAGTACCACAGAACAGTATGATTGTAAAGCTTTCATTTGTGCTGGAAGAACAATGCTATCTGACGTAAGACACTTGGTTTAATGACGTCATTGTTTAATTGACGTTATGAGGAGCGTTGCAGCAACCATAACGTTGTAAAGGGGCGGTGGAGTAGTCTAGTGGTTAAAGCGTTCGCTCGTCACGCCGAAGTCCCGGGTTCGATTCCCCACATGGGTACAATGTGTGAAACTCATTCTGGTGTCCCCCGCCGTGATATTGCTGGAAAAAAGCGGCGTAAAACCATACTCACTCACTCACTCACTCATAACGTTGTAAAACTGTTGTTTGTTTTGTTTGTTTTCATATTACACGACACGTAGAAACCAAATACTTCATACGATATACTTCACACATATACGCACACGCACACACACACTTGGATCCGCCAATGTTACATCTTACATATCGTCATATATTTCAATGACTACCAATGAAGGAGTATCTTTCAAGCATGCCTTTAAGTTCATAGGTAAAATATTTTCATTTATGGGCTTAAGAAGTTCTTAGGGCTACGAACGTTTCGAGAATAGCTAGCCTGGAGTTTGCCAACGTCTGTGGCATCAATGTGATTCCGAACGTCTGGTCCATGCTTGTGTTGATGGATGTACACGCACACTGCTGTGAAACACTTGGCACGTGTCACACTATGGCTTGCTCCAGGTCGCACAATTACTTCAGGTTGGTGGTAAAAGTTCCCGCCCTTTGCACTCAACCAATATCGATAAACTGTCGGTTGACCTGAGCATGACTCCCGTGTTCTAAACTGCACAATGCACTTGTCATTATTGGAGGCTAGCGGAGTTGCTGGAATAACAGCTGACATGTGGATCTTTCACGGTATTTATCCAAAACCTTTTTACACTTCATAACCGACAGTTACACCAGTTGCGAAAAATACGAGTCGCCGAAATAGATTGCATCTGAATTAAAACAACTACAAAAACACTTCGTCGTGGGAAATGCCCACTGTGAGACAAGAAATATAAATTAGAAGTCAGCCTCTAAATTCTCCGACAAACGGGCCATCAATTTCACCAGTCAATCGTGTTCCTGGGTCACTTCCGGAGAGCGGAAAGTCGGTCCCTGGCGCGTCATACAAAAAGATGGTATTTATTGTTACCCTGCCTGGTGCATTGCATTATGGGGATAAATCATTTTAGACTGTTCAGGTCAGCATCTGTATATTCTGTCTGAGAGTTGTATCCGTGTTAAGCT